GCCTCTAGCTCCAGTGGGCTGGGAGCAGGAGGCAGAGCTGGACCCAAAGGTTGAGGGGCTTTCACCCAGCCCCTAGAGCCTGGCACTTTGAACTGGACTTAAAGCCTCCAAATTGTAAGAATAAACTCCTGTTTGTTAAGGCCATCCCATTTGTGGTATATTTCCTGTCAGAGTGGCACTAGGTAACTAGAACAAGGGGCTTTAACCCAGCCCCTAGAGCCTGGCACTTTGAACTGGACTTAAAGCCTCCAAACTGTAAGAGAATAAATTCCCGTTTCTTTAAGCCATCCCATTTTTGGTATATTCATGTCAGAGCGGCACTAGGTAACGAGAACACCACCCTACCCTCCAGTTTCTAAGTTAGCTCCTCTCCCAGCAGGATTCCTTCTCCAGTACAGGAAGAAATCACTTTTTCCATCCTAGAAGCAGCCCTTGCTAGGGTGGCCAGGCCCAGCTCAGGAGGTATGCTGGTATGCACACTACAAGCTGGAGAGGCCATTCACAGGCAAGGCCACTGCACTTGGGCCGTTTGAATCTCTTGCCCACACAGACACTACAGGGCAGGCATGAGAGCCACAGACACAGAAAGGTTGCATGTCCCTGATTTGGATGAGATGGGTCTGACAGGTTACCTGGGGTCCCCACGGGGCTGTAGCAGTCCATGCCCACACTTGCACCATTGTGCTGCCCAGCTTCACATGAGGCCAGCACTGCAGCACCCAGGCACCCTCAAGCAATAGCCCCTGCCCACCACAGGACCAGTCTGGGCTCAGGCTGTGGCAGCCCTGCACAGGCCCTTCCGCCCAACCCTCTGCTTATCTCCAGCATGATGTACCTGGGCGCAGATGAGCTGCAAGGAACTCCACCACTCTCACACCTGACCACAGACTGCCCCCTGAGCAAATGTGCAGCTTCAGTTGTTCATTTTCTGATTACTGAGGTCCTTTGAAACTCATGCATGACTTCTTGATCATGGCTTATACTTTTATTTTACAAATATGATCAACAGTAACATTTTCAGATGATTGAATGGGAGCGAATAAGGCGGAAATCCACTTTTGGGAATGTCATGAGACACATGCACGGTATATGCATGCATGTCCTATGCTGTAACTTTTTGTACTTAATTTCGTTATTTTCACCTGTTTGGCATAGTGCCTAAGGCATTTGACTGCTAACCAGAAGGCTGGCAGCCACTCCTCAGAAGGAAGGTTGGGCAATCTACCTCCGTAGTGATAATGCCTCGGAAACCTAAAGAGGGGTCGCTATGAGTTGGATCCAACTCGATAGCAGTGAGTTTTTGTGGTTTTGTATATGTGTGCACATTAGTTGCATGGACATGCTATTTGCAGTTCATATTTGAAATATGAATTTTTGTTTGCTTTATATTTGCAAATATTTTCTCCCAATGCATCCCTTGTCCTTTAACTTTTTTTTAATGGTACCTATTGCTAGATCTTTCCATCTGTTTTTTTGGCTTTTATCATTTGGTCTACTCCACTTTTATAAGAATATTCTCTTTGTTTCTGTTGTGGGGACTGCTGTGAGGTAGCCATCTAATTTTATTCTTTTGTTAATTCTCTTAACCCAGCCTATAAAGTAGTTCATCTTTTTCTTACTGATTTGAAGTATAACATTTATTAGAGACTAAACTATAATGTCTGTGGCTGTGCCCTGTGCCATGAATCTGTTCTTCTGTCCTTGCACTAGTACCACAAAGTTGTTAATTATTATTCCTAGTAAGAGAATATTTAAATAAATGATGGTAAAACTTACTGACTGGAATATTATGTACCCATTATAATGAATGAATATTTGAAAAAGATTACTGAATAAGAAAACCATGTAGTAAAATAACAAAGTGTATAAAGTAAAAGCTGAGTACACAATTTTATACATAAGCTGAATGTACAATTTTATATACACTACACTATTAAAACAAACCAAAAAATTCACTGTCATCGAGTTGGATCCGACTCATAGCAACCCCTCCTTGTGTTTCTGAGGCAGTATCACTATAGTAGATTGCCCAGTCTTCCTCCCAAGGAGTGGCCAGTGGTTCACCAGCCTTCTGGTTAGCAGTCAAATGCCTTAAGCAGTATGCCACAAGAGCTCCAGCTATTAAGTAGGTAAAGATACATGTTCATGTAAGCAAGGCCTATTATAGATTGAATGGTGTCTCCAAAAAGACAGAGTTTTGAAGTTCTAACCTCTAGTATCTGTGAACATGACTTTGTTTGGAAGTAGAGTCTTGAAAGATGTTATGAGTTAACATGAGGTTGTAGTGGAGTAAGATATGCCCCCATCAATATGAGTAATGTCCTAATGAAAAGAAGAGACACAGAAAGAAGATAGCAATGTGAGGACAGATGCAGAGATAGGACTTATGCTGCCACAAGCCAAGGAACTCCTGGAACCAACCAGAAGGTAGTAGAGGCAGGGAAGGATCCTTCCCTACAGCCTTCAGAAAGAGCATGGCCCTGCCAACATCTTGATTCCAGACTTCTGGCCTCTGGAACTGAGAATAAATTCTGTTGTTGTAAGCCACCCACTTTGTGGTACATTGTTATGGCAGCCTTAGAAAACTAATACAAGGACTAAAATAAAGTACAAAGAAATGCAGACAGCTAAATAAGGGTGGTAAAAATGTAGTCCACTGTTTTTCCTTAAAGTTATGATTTAAAACAAAACAAAAAACAGTTGTCATCAAGTCACTTCCGACTCACAGCAACCAAATGTGTTTCATAGTAGAATTGTGCCCCTTAGGGTTTCCAGTGGCTGATTTTTCAGGAGTAGATCACCAGGCCTTTCTTCTGAGGTACCTCTGAGTGGACTCGAACCTCTAACCTTTCAGTTAACAGCAAGTGTGTTAACCATTTGCACCACCCAGGGACAAAATGATGGTAATGTTCCCTTCATAATGAAAACATTTTCAGACATTCCCCGGCTGTGATACAAGTATGTCATATCTTTCCTCAGGAGATGTTTTGTACTAATTTTTGCCATTTCAGGTGGTTGCTTTTGACCCAGTCTTCATGGCCTGTTTTTCATTTGTTTCAGATAAAACTTACCTGGTTGACCTGAGTAATGAGCATGCCATGTCACTCACCATCGCACTGCGGTCTGACAGAATGAGCCACAAGTTTGTCCCTGGCTGCTTTGTGTGCCTGGAGTCTCGGACTTGCAGCACCAACTTGACCCTGACATCTGGCTCCAAACACAAGATCTCCTTCCTCTGTGACAACCTGAACCGCCTGTGGATGAAGGCAGAGAAAATCATAAGTATGTGCCAGTAGTACGTTTTCACCCTGGGCTATGGGGTTCACTAAGTAGGTTATAAATAGTATGATCAGAAATGTCCACCCACCATGCGGGTGGGCAAAGGAAACCAAGAGGCAGAAAAAGCAAGATGAAGATGTACCCCTCTTTAGGACCAGGCAGCCTCAGTTACAGTATGTACCTTCAGAAGTACGCAGTTTCCAAAGCCACACACACTCCTACGTCCAGGCCTCATTTCCCCTCTACTGTCCTTCCAGTCTCCCTTTTATAAAGTCCTCTTCCCCTCACCTCTCTCATCCTCATGTCCCAGGCTTCTACAGTCATTGCCCACTGTCTTCTCTCACATGAGACTGAGATCCTGAGGTCAAGAGCTTGAGTTTGTTTCCATTTCTAACCCTTTAGCCCCCAACAGTGCTAGATATGTGTGAGTCACCTAATGAATGTTTGCTCAATGAAGGGCAGCTAAACCAGTAATCACCACCCTGCTGGGCCACGTACATTTACTCTCTCTGATATGGACACTCTTAGAATCTCAACAGATGCAGGAGCTGAGGCTGCAAAAGCAAAGCAGCCTACCCAAGGTCACCCCCTAGGAAGTGGCAGAAATGGAATGTGAGCTAAGATCTCCCTAGCACCACTCTCTGCTCCAACCACTACACAGAACTTCCTCTCCACAGACCAGGGAACTGGACAACATATCTGGGTATAAAAACCCATGTCCTGCCTACATGGCTCTCAGATTCCAAGGCACAGAAGAGAGATTGTAGCAAAAAAAAAAAAGGAAGAAAAATATGTCAACTATAAGTGCTTCTCAGAAATCTGTCTGTCAGTTTAGTAGATAGTAAGACTAAGAAATCCCTGGGTGGTACAAATGATTAATGTGCTTAGCTACTAACAAAAAGGTTGAAGGTTAGAGTCCACTGAGAGGTGCCTTAGAAGACTTTCCTGATTTCAGAAAAATCAGCCATTGAAAACCCTGTGAAGTTAATGATGATAGGATAATTTAGGAAAGGATAGTGATCATGGTTGTACTGCAGAATGAACATAAGCAATGTCACTGAATTGTACATGTAAAAATTGTTGAACTGGAAAATCTTTTGTTACATTAATATGTTTTGTTAACCCAATGAAAAAAAAAAATAGGATAAAGAAGTGGGGAGGAAGGAAAGGAAAAAGGAAGGGAGGGAGGAAGAGGGAAGGAAAGATAGCCTTATGGAACACAGTTCTACACACATGGGGTCACCATGAGTCAGAGTCAACTCTGTAGCAACTGGTCTGGTTTAAATGTGAGAGCAGGAGGGAAAGCCAGAAAAGGAGTATGGGTTCCGGCAAGATGGCGGACTAGACAGAAAGACTGCACAGACTCTCTTCAATGAAGAAAAGGGAAACCAATTAACACAAACACAGAAGATAATCTTGGACCCCTGAGCCTTGAAGGGAAGGATATAGAAGTGGACTAAACCCCAACTAGCA